CATATATATATATATATATAAAAAATAAGCTCACCAAAAAAAAAAAAAAAAGAAAAGTGCTCTTTCCATACATGGGGACACATCACTAACTTTGTCATTTAATATGACTTTGTCGCACACGACATAAAAGTCTATGGATTTCTCAGAAAATTGGATTTTCTCTCCGTTTATGATCTTCTTCTTCTATTTCTTCTTTAAACTCTTTGCGAAATAGAAGAAAAACTACATGGAAATAGATCCGGTCAAATATTTATTTTTTTATTTTATTTTTGAAATGAGGGAAATCGATGAAGAGTTTTTTTTTCTTGGAGAAAGTTTTTCGTTTTTCAAACTCAAATAGAAAGAATTATTTTCAACAGGTGAATGCAAGTTTTTATTTTCCTTTTTTTTATTTCGTCGATGATAACGAACTATAATAATGTTTATTATATCTGAAAGAAGGGAACATTTTTTTTAAATGCGAAAAATAATTTTTTTTCATTTGATTTAATAAAAGATTATATAATAACAACCATTTTGGTGTCCCTTGGTATTCGTGAATGTAAATTTAATGACAATAATGACGCTATAATTGTACACACGTTTGTAGAATATTAATTATTTTTGGTAATTTGTTTTATGCGCACGCGGGAGACAAATAATTAAAAAGAATATATATAAATAATATGATGCATTAGAGAGTAGGTTTGACATAAACGCGATATTTATTATTAATTTTCCATATATATATATACATGGGAGAGGGAAGTAAAGCTCATTGAAGTTAGCTTGAAAGCAGACATGTGACGGAAATCCAATGATCCTAATAATTGAATTGATACATTCAGGTAATAATACATTGTGTATATGTGTGTTGTTCGTTTCATGTGTTCTCTTCGACATAAACCGAAAACCTTTCACACAACAATGGTATTAATGTATCGTACATTGTGAAATATTGCTCGTTTTATCTTTTTATTTGATTTCAATAGAAACATTTTTTTCCCATTACGTTAATTATGCAAGATTTTTTTTTTTTTTTTAATCTTAAGTTTTCGATGAAATAAAGCAAATATGGTTTTGAAGGTAATTTACTTGAAGACCGGACATTAGATTTTAGAATAATGAAACTATCAATTGCATCTAATGAGAATTGGAAGGGTTTGGGGGGGGATGAGAGGGAATTGTCTAGAACCCGCTCTCTCTTTCTCTTTTGTGATATCGATGTGATTCAGAAAGCCGTATAATAATAATTAGTGTGAGGATAGGAAAAAAAAAGGTAATTTTAAAATACGACGTAAAGGTTCGCTACTGAAATCGGTAGCGAAAGGGCGGCGGCGGCGGCGGTGGCACAACGGCGACGCAAATTAAATGTCGGATCAAAAACACGGCTCCTGTCACTGGCAACATTGCCATGAGAGTAGAAAGAGGGAAAGAACAGAGAAATTACCATTTTCAACCACCCCAGGGGAACGGGGCGGGGATATTGCTAGGATATGAGTTTATTCTATGACATTACGAATACGTAGAATGAGAAAAACGGGATTATATATGTATATCCTTTACTCTATATATATAAATAAAAAAAATTATATTATTATATTTATATATTGAATAGTATATTTATTTTAAACCTCATTTAATAACTCATAAAAACTTATAATTTTCACATAAATAAGGAATAAAAAAAACTTATTAGAAAAAATGCTTTACGATGTCTTTTAAGGTATTCAAAGAAAAACTTTTTTTCCTAATCTATATTTATATTTATCTAAACTCATACAAGTGGCGACAGTCTCTATATGTAAGCGTGTTTGCTGTGATTATTTTTTTGTCTTCGCGTGGCAAAGCGCAATGAATATCCAAAGCCTACACACATATATATATATATATAGAGCTTCAAGTGAATTATCATTTAAATCGTTTCGAAAACATATACACACACTATCGCAAATGGGAAATTGTTTTTTAATTTACACCATTTTTTTTTCTTTTTTTTCTTTGTTAAAAGAATTTTTTTTTTCATTAATCTCATTACTATAAGTGATTTTTTTTAATTGTTTCATTCAACTAAATATAAATTTTACCCAGCATGTTATTTTTTGTATTTATAATTGAAAAATTTAGCTCTTTTGTCAATGAAAAAAAATGGGCCTTAAAATTTTTTTTAACGATGTATTATTAAAAAAAAAAAAGTTTTTCATACTAGATGATGAATAATTATATTTCTAATCTTGATTAGAACTGTATCGAAGACGAATTTTAACTGAAAATTAATTAAAAAGGCAAATAAACGACAACTGTTAGTTCAAGATCAGAAAGTAGTCGAATAGCAGTAAATAAAAAAGTTTGAATGTCTTTGACTTGACCATTAAATGACCTTGAATGTCCATGACTCGACCTTCAAATGTCCTTGACTTGACCTTCAAAAGACCTTGATTTGACCTTTAAATTTCCTTGTCTCGACTTTCAAATGACCTTGAATATCCTAGACTTGACCTTCAAATGACCTTGAATATCCTTGCCTTACCTTCAAATAACCTTGACTTGACCTTTAAATGTCCTTGACTCGACTTTCAAATGACCTTGAATGTCCTTGACTTGACCTTCAAATGACCTTGAATGTCCTAGACTTGACCTTTAAATGACCTTGAATATCCTAGACTTGACCTTTAAATGACCTTGAATATTCTTGACTTGACCTTCAAATGACCTTGAATGTCATTGACTTGACCTTCAAATGACCTTGAATATCCTAGACTTGACCTTTTACTTGACCTTGAATATCCTTGACTTGACCTTCAAATGACCTTGAATGTCATTGACTTGACCTTCAAATGACCCTGAATATCCTAGACTTTACCTTCAAATGACCTTGAAATCATCAACTTGACCTTCTCAACCTTTGAGTTATTCCCTTACATGTTTCTGAATTTATAGTGTGTAGAAAATGGAAAAAAAGAAAAATGTAACATAATCGCAATTGTCAGTTCAGTGGAACATATGATTTCGGTAAAAGGCGTTAAGGTGACAAATTCTATTTAAACAAGATTTTCAAATCCATGTGGATTAGAAAATCCAATATTATAACGGAGGTATGAGAAAAGAAGGTATAGGGGTTTTGCGAGAGAGTGTGCGTGACTTGTAGGTCGAATCAGAGGGAAGAGGGCATAACGCAATTACACGTTGGGATGCTGAGTTTGCTGCGCGATCTTATACGCGGCAGGGTTGAAAATCGGAACGGTGAAAGAGACACAGTGATAGAAATAGAGACAGAGAGAGAGAGAGAGAGAGAGAGAGAGAGAGAGAAAGAGAAACGAAGAAGGGAGAGAGAGATGGCAAAATGGAAAGAGAAGCCAACCAACGTCGGGTGGCAAGATTGAATATGAAAGTTTAATGTGAGCAATATCAGAGGCACTACCACGGTCCACGACCACTCACTCAGACGTCTCTATGTTATTCTACTACCAATCTTGGTGTCTATATGCCGCCCAGTATCGTGCGACTATCTTTAACCCCCTTCCACCCTTTTCCATGTGCAAGGACAAGAAATGTCATTCTGATTTTGAAATGGGATATTCGCCAACACCAAGCTTCTTTGATCGTCAAAGCAAAATCGTTTTATAGATTTTTTGACGAAAAAAAAATATTATTTTCCAGAAAGCCTTCTGAATCTCCACTTGTATATATAGCAGCGTAAGTAGTGAAAAATGGATTTTTGAAAAATTGAAAAGACAATTTTCTCCATTGAAAAAAAAAATTAAATATTACATAGTGAATGTTTAATTATATCATTGTTTAAAATTTTTTTGTTACATTTTTTTGGGGGGGTGTAGGGTTTCTCTTTTGACAAGTTTCAGTTGATTTTGTAATACAAACACCAAAGCTCTTAGCTCACTTGCAAAGATTTCGCAAACTACAGTTACCAACTCATGCTAGGTAGAATGTCTAAAAGTAGGAAAATTCACTTTATGCTTCTATCGTTCCCTATGTCTACAATGCAAGACTTTTCCCTTCGAGTTAAAAGGTTAGCTCGACATCGAGAGCAATAAGTCTCTAATTGATTTTTCTCTTCTTCATTTCCAAAAAAGAAAAACGTCACCGATACCACTTTGTTATATATATATATACATTCAAGAAAGTGCTTCTCTTTTGTGTTGAAAAGAAATATTCGGCTATCTTGAAAATTTTATTGCCTTTTATAAGAAACGAAGCAAACGCATTACTTTAAAAGAAATACACACACACATACGACATTTCAAACGCATTTCGATCCATGTCGTCGTTGCAAAACCCGCATTTGCTTAATGCATTAAAGTTCAAATCGTCTCTTTCTGTGTCGCAGGGTTAAAAGAGCAATCAGCTCTTTATTACGTGACGGGAAGTCGTAAAAATGCGACGGGGAGCATAAAAATTCCCTAATAGAAAATTAATTTTTTATTAAAAAAAAAAGAGAAAGGAAAAATATTTCAAAAATTGCAAAAAGAAAATTTTAAGATAAAAAGAATATTTTTAAGGTAACAAAGTGAAATTTTGCCGAAGGAATTTTTTTTCACTAAAAAAATCAGTTATTTACGGTTTCTTGAAAGGTTGCTAATATTTTTTTTTTTTTTTTTGGGTTGTTGTATCGGTAACTCTCGCATAATAATTCCCAACGATGGAGAGGTGCGTTTCTAATTTTCTGGTTAAATTTCCTTTTATCCACCAAACGAACAAAGGGGCAAGATCGTGGCTTTGGAAAAGGATGAAACAAGAATAACCACGAAAGGCGAGGGATTGAATCTTGTCGGTAATTAATGAGGAAAGTTTTACAAACAGCCCTGGGCGTGCTTACTAAATGCCTCAGCAAGAACATGAATCCTATCGACAGTGGATAGATTTTCTTTTTTTTTTTTCTTTCTATATTCTTTATACCGTTATAACGAAAAAATTCTTAAAAGTACAGAGGCAACAAAATTCAGAAGAAAGACTACACTAATTTTAAAATCAATATTTAGCAAAAAATAATTTTCAAATTTTAGGTGATCGTTCATATCGCACGGGATCCGATACGGAAGGTGCAGTTACAACGGACAATCCAACAACTCCATTTCCGACTCCACCTCCAACATTAACACCAAATCATCGTCAGGCATCTCCGTTTCCTTTGGAAAGTACAAATTCACGACGTCATCATTATAATGGCAGTATTTCATCAGAAAGATCTCGGAATGGTAACGGTTCGTTTAAATTTTCATTTTTAAATGCACATCTAGAATATAAAGTTCTCTTTAGAAAAAAAAAAAAAAAGAACTCGGGTTTGTCGCCCTCAAGGCAGATATTCACATCGCGTGGTTACTTAGCTTACGCGCTCGCCTTTTGAGATGAACTACAAACCCGTGGAAAAAATTTACAGAAATGTTACTCTTCTGATGTTAGTGAAAAAAAAGCCACTCCTTTCTAAAGAATGCTTTTATATATGGAATATAGAAAAATTACAATTTTTGATATTTGTAAAAAATAGAAGCTTAAAATATTTTTTTAAAGGAGAAAAAAGCGGTATAGAGTATTAAAATTTTAATTATAATTTTTATATTACAGGTGAAACTGTTTATGCAGCAGCATCAAAAAAGACAAGTTCTGCAGGGGCTAGTACTTTGAGTCGAAGAACACGTCGGGGTCATGGAAGTGCTTTGAGCAGTAGTTCAACAGCAAGTGATCGATCTGAAAATGTTTATCCCGATGAACATGGTCGCCTTCATCTCAGCAATGGTGAGTGAAAATTATTTTTGATTCCAATTTTTTTTTTTTAAATATTTGTCAGAGTGATTTTGTTGCAAAAATGACGAGGACACGTAATGAGACTTGAATTAGAAGTTTTGGTCTAACAATAATCAGAATGATGAATACATTAGTAGAAGGTAGCAAACTCTGTATATATATATATCTGAATTCAGATTAAACAGGATTGCGCGCGTACAATGGAATAATTGATAAACCAAAGTACTTTACGCAGTGGCTCATTAAATAAGCAAGGACTTTCTGTTTTCGGAGTTTGGTCCTCATTGTGTCGTCTAGATGAGAGTAGTGCACGCGAGAGTACCAGCTTTTGGTTCCCTCTATCATCCAAGAGTGGTCTAACAGAGTTAACTGTTACCCGCGGCCAGGCTAGTTAGTTGAGGTCACATGAAAGTTAGTGAACACCCGCCTATATTGTTTTGGGATGCCGAGAGCATTTTGGGGTTCATCCTTGTCGTTCGACTTCTCCCCTTTTTGGGACGTAGAGGAGAAACTCTCTCTCTCACTCTCTCTAATACTGATAACGCAGTTTTCAAACCACGAGATGGGAAAGTAGCTCTGCGGCTTTTGCCGCGCACGCCCAGCTGTCGCGCGTCTACTAACTTTTAAGCGAATTTGACTAGATCTCGTTTCCCACTGCCTACTCTCGACTTGGCTTTTACACCACCCAGCTGCCAATTAACCGAAAACCCCTTTTCAACTCAGCCGATATCCTCTTTTACAACACGTTAACCTCGTCTTTGCCGACGTTCCCTCAGCTTTGAATTTCTCAACACTCTGCGAGATTATTCATCATAGATAAAAGTGAAATTGTAATTGATTTTTAAACAGCTGTTGACGTGTAAAAATAATAACAATTTCTTTAATAGCCTTAAACATTGAATTGATCTTCTAATCCAATTTTATGAATTTCATAATGACTTAGTGTTTAAAGTTGCATGGTCAATGGGAATATAGGTTGCAAACTCCTCGTCATATCTAATATCGTTAAACGCTGCTACTATCTTCCATTAGTTGCTTCCTCATATAGAGCCTAAGGTAATATCTGTCGTCTTTCTAACACGCTCTCGAGCGGCGAGAGGGTTAACGCAACTAAACTCTCAGAGACCGTTGGGAACTATTTGCTAATAGACACCGCAACATATATATATATACACACACACCCCCCATTAGGCCGTTGGGGACATTCCGTCGCTCGATATCGCATCGGCAATTCTCGCTTAAATTACGTTAATTACATTAATTGCGATCTTAATAACGGACGCTGGGCATAAAAGTCGATTGCTCACAAGGGAGAGACGAAAACGATTGTGCACCAACGCTCACACTGATAACCCTCTCATTAAAGTATAATTATATTCTAATCTCCCCTTTTCAAATTATTCACTCTAATATCATATATTTATATACTCTGACCCAATTTATTTTCTTCAAATTCTATTTTTATAAAAGACAAAACATCTTTAGAAATAGATTTGTATGAAAACATTTCAAGTATTATTGACTGAATGTATATAGTATATTGAAAAAGTTTTCAATACAACATTACTAAGCATAATTCATGGATGACCCCTATTGATTATCGTGTCTATGCGTATTATTCATATTTGCAACAAGTGAATAAATGAATGACTCATCGAGTTTAGTTGGCGTATTCCCTCTCTCTATTTCATTTCTATATTTAAACGAAATATAAACTATTCACATGAATCATGCCATCGAACTTGGATGCGTCTTGGGATTCGTAGACAGACAGACATACACGTAAGCTTGAATTTGTCCAGACAGATCAATGCAAGGTGAGATCGATACTGTCCGTCGTATATATATATATATATATACAAACTGCGGGAAATAATTCGTATTTACATGAATATGTATTTCCAAATTGGAGCGTCAGTCGAGAGAATTGAGTTATCCAGAGTCGCTAACCACATCTAGTCACTGTCGGGGATATACCTTGCATCTCGTTCAATGTCAAACTGACCCTCATCAATAGTCACTCTATCCTTCAAACAAACCACACTTGATTTTTTCATCTTGCTCTATAATTTTTTTTTTTCTATAATTTCCTACAATTTTCTTACAAAATAATTTTGAGGCAAATATTAGATAGAAACAATGACTTAAAATTTTTTTTAACGATAAATTGTTAATAAAAAAAAAAGTTTTTCATACCAGATGATGAATAATTATTATTATCTTCATTAGAGTAGAATTATACCCAAGACGAATTATAACTAAAACTAAATTAAAAGAGAAAAAGAAGGACAACTGTCAGTTCATGTAACAGACAGTAGTCGAATAGAAATAAAAAAGAGTTTAAATATCTTTGACTTCAATTTTTAATGGCCTTCAAATGACATTAAATAACCTTGACTTGACCTTGAATATTCTTGAATTGATCTTCAAATAACCTTGACTTGACCTTTAAATGACCTTGACTTGACCTTCAAAAGACCAAGAATGACCTTGACTTGGCCTTCAAATTAACTCGAATAACCTTGAATTGACCTTCAAATGACCTTGAATGTCCTTGATTTGACCTACAAATGACCTTAAAAATCCTTGACCTTAAACGACTTTGACTTGACCTTCAATGTCTTTTACTTGGGCTTGAAATGACCTTAAATGTCATTTACTTGACCTTCAAATGACCTTGAATGTCATTTACTAGACCTTTAAATGACCTTGAATGTCCTTGACTTGACCTTTAAATGACATTGAATGTCCTTGACTCGACCTTCAAATGACCTTGATTAACCTTGAACTTGAACGACCTTGACTTGTCCTTTAAATTATCTCTAATAACCTTGACTTGATCTTTAAATGACCTTGAATGTCCTTGACTTGACCTTCAAAAGACCAAGAATGACCTTGACTTGGCCTTCAAATTAACTTGAATTGACCTTCAAATGACCTTGAATGTCCTTTATTTGACCTACAAATGACCTTAAATAACCTTGACCTTAAACGACCTTGACTTGACCTTCAAATGACCTTCAATGTCTTTTACTTGACCTTCAAATGAACTTGAATGTCATTTACTTGACCTTCAAATGACCTTAAATGTCCTTGACTTGACCTTTAAATGACATTGAATGTCCTTGACTCGACCTTCAAATGACCTTGAATAACCTTGAACTTGAACGACCTTGACTTGTCCTTTAAATTATCTCGAATAACCTTGACTTGATCTTCAAATGACCTTGAATGTCCTTGATTTGATTTCAAATGACCTTGAATGCCCTTGAATTGACCTTCAAATGACTTTGAATGTCCTTGACTTGACCTTCGAATGACCTAGAATGTCCTTGATATGACTTCAAATGACTTTGAATGTCCTTGATTTGACCTTTGAATGACCTTGAATGTCCTAGACTATTTTTTACATATTGGCGGCGCTAGTGGTCTATTCTATAAAATCAGTTTCCCAACCCTGGTGAAATTTCTTTACATGTTTACTGAATGTAATAAATTGCAATGGAATCTCTGTTTCTGATGGAAATCCTACGAAATTTAATCTGAATAGAAAAAGAATTTCAGATCCCTTCCATTAATTTTATAATCATTCTTTATTATATTGAAAAATTGTTTTCATGATTTTCCTATTAAATAAATAAAAATATTTTATTGTAATCCGGACAAAATCTTCAAGGAGCTAATTCAGAGAATTGTCTCGAGGTTTAAAATCTTCCTTATCAGATTTCTTCTAGTCACCCAATTCTAATTCTCTGAACAAAATCTTTTAGATAGATTTAACTCCTGGCAAATTTTGATATGCTACATCACAGAAATAAAAAAGATTGATACCAAAAAACAAAAAAAAAATTACAATGTATTGCAAAAAAAAAATTTGTCAAAGATCCATTTAACACTACGGAAACGAATTAGACTCACGCGGCAAGAGTAAATTGATGGAAACCCATACATATATATATATATACATACATACAATGATGTCCGGCGGTTTACCGCGCCTTTCTCTGCAAATACTATTGATTACGCAGCATTTTCTTTGTCAGTGAGCGGGGGGTAACGGTTGACAAAAACAAAAACCGTATATGCAGCACGACAGCTCGACGCCAAATAACAATTGAGTGAGCGCGTGCAGTGGTTCCACATGACAGCGATTCAAAATGAATGCACTCTCGTCACAAAAGAAGTGTCGTGATATTGTGAAAGCTGGTGCACGATGCAAATACATATAGTATGCGTATATATATATATATAGAAGAGATGCTTGTCGTGCAGTTTCACGCGTGGATTTCTCGTATTATTTTTTTTTCTCATGTTTTTTTTCTTATTTACTGGAGTGCCACGTATTGGCTGCGTAATTACGCATTACACGTGTCTCAATTGTCGTGCACTGCCGGCGAATTGTTCAATAACTGGAACGAATGTATATATATATATATACATGTATATTTCGACGGTAAAGTCGCTCGAGATATGCGCCGGACACGGCTGGCGTTGACAGAAATACATTGCACGTTTCACACTGCAATTTAATTAAACAATTATTACTTGCTTATTACTGCAGGTATCGAGACTAAATTTTCCTATATATATACTGTTAAATATATATATATATACATAATATTCCTCGTTTCCTCTCATCTTCCATTTGATACTGTCCTTCTGCTTCAATTTTCCTCGTGACTCCTTCTGCTAATGTACACATGGCACAATGACGTTGATGGTAATTAATCAAACGCAACGAATCAACCGTGAAAACTAAATTGTCTAACTAAACTCTTGGGTGAAAATTTACGCAAGAAAGCACTGATGATGTGCTTTATCTTGATTAACATGGAAATTATAAACTTTCGTGTTGGAGAAAAGAAAACAATCATTGTCACATGAAATTCAATTTCACTTTAATTTTCTTCTTTTATTATTAAAAAAGTTTTATTTAAAAAGTTAAAATTTTATTAAATTATTCTTTTGCTTCCTCATGGAGGAAGCTTTGTAGTCCTTTCGTTTATAAACATTTTCAAAGTAGCGGAAACAAATTTTTTTCTATATAGAAACATGTTATATGAGATACTGATCAATTGTCCGGATGTATGTATGTGTCTGTGTGGATCCCTTTTTTGTTTAGACGATAACATTAACAGGTTTTAATGGATTTAGATCAAATTTGGTAGGCTCATTCATCATATTAATATCTCAAATATGACCAAAAGATTTTAAAAAATACCCAAAAAAAAAATTTATCGTCTTATTTCCAAAATATTTATTTAATCGAAAAAATTTTTAAATAGAAAAATTTAAGGTTATATATAATAAAATCGTATTCCTTACGTCAACACAAATTGATTGGTATATATAAAGTATAGTTTCAATTTAAATTTAAAGAATTAATGAAAGTTAAAAAATCAAAAATTCACATTTGGCAATAAAATTTTGTGATTTTTTAAATTGAAGTTTATATATGAAATAACTGTAATCCTTGCATTGAAACAAACCAATATAATTGTAAATAATTATAAATTATATATTATTATTTTTCATTAATTTTCAGAAATTTCAGCTAAAATGTGAATTTTTGATTTTTTAACATCCATTAATTCCTTAACTTTAACTCAAATCTATAGGTTCTCAAATGTTTATATTATTATTATATTATTTTTGTATGTTTTTTCCAATGTTAATGCTTTCTCCACGAGGAAGCAAATTTATTTCCTAATCATAAAGAGGAACCAAAATGTTTATGTAATGAACATCTGAATTTACAACTTGTTGGGTGTATTTTGTGCAAGAAATTGCAATGAAATAGTCTGCCTAAGAAGAATTGATTTTTTTTGTCTATTTTTCTATGACGAAAAGCGCTTAAATGTTAGTAATAGGTGTCTTCCTCTACTCGTATTTGGCTGTCAATTTTTTTCTACACTTTTAGGTGTATTTTGTGCAAGAAATTGCAATAAAATAGTGTGCCTAAGAAAAATTGAATTTTTTTGGGAACTTTTTTGTGATTTTGGATTTTTGTGTCGGATGACTTTTTGGTGGTAATAGGTGTCTTCCTCTACTCGGATTTGGCTGTCAATTTTTTTCTACACTTTTAGGAGTATTTTGTGCTAGAATATGCATTAAAATCGTCTGCCTAAGAAAAATTGAATTTTTTTGGGAACTTTTTTGTGATTTTGGATTTTTGGGTCGGATGACTTTTTGGTGGTAATAGGTGTCTTCCTCTACTCGGATTTAGCTGTCAATTTTTTTCTACACTTTTAGGAGTATTTTGTGCAAGAATATACATTAAAATCGTCTGCCTAAGAAAAATTGAATTTTTTTGGGAACTTTTTTGTGATTTTGGATTTTTGGGTCGGATGACTTTTTGGTGGTAATAGGTGTCTTCCTCTACTCGTATTTGGCTGTCAATTTTTTTCTACACTTTTAGGTGTATTTTGTGCAAGAAATTGCAATAAAATCGTCTGCCTAAGAAAAATTGAATTTTTTTGGGAACTTTTTTGTGATTTTGGATTTTTGGGTCGGATGACTTTTTGGTGGTAATAGGTGTCTTCCTCTACTCGTATTTGGCTGTCAATTTTTTTCTACACTTTTAGGTGTATTTTGTGCTAGAAATTGCAATAAAATAGTGTGCCTAAGAAAAATTGAATTTTTTTGAAAATTTTTTTTTGACGAAAATCGCTTTAATGGTCATAAAATTGGTGTTCCTCTACTCGGATCGGGCTGTCAATTTTTTTCTACACTTTTAGGTGTATTTTGTGCAAGAAATTGCAATAAAATCTTGTGCCTAAGAAAAATTGAATTTTTTTGGGAACTTTTTTGTGATTTTGGATTTTTGGGTCGGATGACTTTTTGGTGGTAATAGGTGTCTTCCTCTACTCGTATTTGGCTGTCAATTTTTTTCTACACTTTTAGGTGTATTTTGTGCAAGAAATTGCAATAAAATAGTGTGCCTAAGAAAAATTGAATTTTTTTGGGAACTTTTTTGTGATTTTGGATTTTTGTGTCGGATGACTTTTTGGTGGTAATAGGTGTCTTCCTCTACTCGGATTTGGCTGTCAATTTTTTTCTACACTTTTAGGAGTATTTTGTGCTAGAATATGCATTAAAATCGTCTGCCTAAGAAAAATTGAATTTTTTTGGGAACTTTTTTGTGATTTTGGATTTTTGGGTCGGATGACTTTTTGGTGGTAATAGGTGTCTTCCTCTACTCGGATTTAGCTGTCAATTTTTTTCTACACTTTTAGGAGTATTTTGTGCAAGAATATACATTAAAATCGTCTGCCTAAGAAAAATTGAATTTTTTTGGGAACTTTTTTGTGATTTTGGATTTTTGGGTCGGATGACTTTTTGGTGGTAATAGGTGTCTTCCTCTACTCGTATTTGGCTGTCAATTTTTTTCTACACTTTTAGGTGTATTTTGTGCTAGAAATTGCAATAAAATAGTGTGCCTAAGAAAAATTGAATTTTTTTGAAAATTTGTTTTTGACGAAAATCGCTTTAATGGTCATAAAATTGGTGTTCCTCTACTCGGATCGGGCTGTCAAATAGTAGCAAAAAAAATTTCAATGTCTTTGAATTAACCATTAAACGACTTTGATCTTGAATGTACAAAACTTGATCTTCAAATGACCTTGAATGTCTTTGACTTAACCTTCAATTGACCTTGAATGTCCTCAACATGACCTGTAAATGACCTTTAATGCCCTGGACATGATCTTGAAATGACTTTAAATGTCTTTAACTTGATCTTCAAAATTTTTGTCCAGAGTAATGTGAATTAATTTTTTAATTGAATTTAGGTTTTTGTTTCGAGTTTTTATTTCTCTCCAGGCTAATGCGAATAATGTTGGATGTTGTTTAGATTAATATTTACTGTTTCAATTAATTCCTAATCAGATTAAACTGATATTAAATTAATATCCAATTTGGTTTTTATTTGATGAATTTAAGACTAGTTTTAGACTAATCGGAATTTATTTTTCGAAATGCATATTATTTTCTTTTATAGAATTTAAAAGATTATAATATATTCAACTATGGTAATAAAATATATATATAATTAAAATTCCTAACGCTACTTTATTACATTTAGATACATACAATATTAACAAACTACAGTGTAAATGTGAATAAAATTTTTCACATGATGTGCAAATTTTTCCGGAATTTAAATTTTTGTTTTAAAAAGTCAAGTTTTGTAGAATCTTTTTTTTTATAAATGTAGAATGACAATGAACTTGCGCGTCGAAATAATAATTCTCAACGGGTTATTTTTATAATGAAACAATTTTTAGTCGCAAACATAGTAACTTGCTAAACATTGCGGAAGAGAGGAAAATTATCATAAAAGCGTGGACTTCATAATTACACAGATGGTATTTTAATTACTTTATACCATGAAAATATAATCCCTTTGTAAATACAATTTTCATTTTACAAAAGTTAAATGATCATTAAAATTTAAATTGATTTCTTTATTATGAAAAAGAAAATAATTTTTAATTAACAATTTTCAATATCATTTTTTTTTTTGAACATATTGATAAAATTAATTATTAAATATTGACATTTAATTTATATTGGAGAATGTGTTATTTTAAAGTATTGTTGAATTTTATAATTATTTATTTATATGAGGGAAAATGAATAATTTTTTACTCGTTATTTTAATAATGGTTAATTTTATTGTTTTTTTTTCTTTTTTTTGGTATATATATATTTTTTTTTTTTGCATCAACTTTATTATATGTATAGCACTGCACTAACAGTTTTCCTCTTTGCACATTCGTTACCTGCACAGGTCTGGTCGTGTCTGCCTATTTCACAGGTATGTACGTGACTTCTGAAAAACATGCGGTCGTAATCAGTAGTGGCAGTGCATTGCTTGTGCCCGTAGTGTTATCGTGAACATTGTCACAGACGATAAAGAGAAATAATGCAGAAGGGTGAAAAGGTTTAGAGCTTGAAAAATTGATACCCTCACTCATTCTCTCTCTCTCTCTCTCTCTCTCTTTATTTCTCTCTTCTCTCTATCGAAAGGGAATTTCACCAAACGATCACAATTCATCTTCTCATGAACTTTTCTAATCTCATTATTGCTATTTATATTGTTTTAACTTTCTTTTAATCCAAATTTTTCATCATCATAAAAAAACTCATTTCAGTTCTTCCGCAAAAAAATTTTTTTTTAAATGTTTTAATTAAATCTTTTTTAAATTCGTAGTAAAGAGTTTCTATTCTTTTTTTTGAAAACGAAATTAATGTCTTTTGAGGTTTTCTAAAAATACCTTTTTTTGCGGGGGGGGGGGGAATATTTTAAAGATCAATTAAATTTTGTCACACTATTGTGTTATTAGAAAAAGAAATTATTTTTTCTTTACAAAAAGTTTTTAAAATTTACTAGATATTATAATTTAATAATTTTGACGGATTAACGGGTATTCTATTAACGAGTATCGAGACCACCAATACCACCGCTACCACACCACGGTTGTGGCAAGTTTCATAGCTTTCTAGGAAAGTGCGATAGACTACTGCTGCTGTGTGTTGTAGTTAACCTTGATTTACAATAATGTGCTTCTGTAACATTAACAACCTCTAATGGTTACACATTGCACTAATTTTACGTATGTATGCATATCCGTATATACATATACAAATATATATATATATATATATATATATATATATATATATATATAACTATATGTATATATTTACGGATACGGAAACGTGACTATGCACAACTGTGGACAACTGGTGTAACCGCACACGTGGCACTATCGGTTTATTGCGTCGGCATCCACGGTTTTGCCTAATTTACTACAACCAATCGAGTCACATTCGACTTAAATTTATGCACACACACTTCCGAATAGTACAAACATATATATATATATATACATTTCTATATATATATATGTATAATCATTCTAACGAAGCGTTGAATTCATTGATCAGAATTGTTCATTATGAACAATGCCACCTTGGTGTATTATTATTATGTCAATAATTTTCATCACTCTCATATATCCTTTGTGTTCATGTTATAATAGTTTCCTAGAAAAAAAATTCATTTTTATTAATCAAGTCTATAACTATTTTTATTGGACTACATTCACTTATATTTTGATTTGGATTTTTTGTCCAAATATTCCATATTTTTCTATTTTCATTATCATCATAATCATGGCATTGCGCTTTGTAGTTTTAATATCAAAAAATTTATATTCTATGAATTATAGATGAATGTTAGAAAAACTAGATTTTTAAAACAATTTCACATTTTATTATTGAAATTAAAAGAAAATATTTTTTTTTAATTAACCAAGTAATTATATCTATAAGTAATTAATTATTAATAACAGATTAATTAAATTTAAAATTTACCGGACAAAGATTAATTTTTATAAAATAATAATTCCCTCCTTATTGTAGCAGATTTCCACTTTACCCTTCGCACAAAAAATAATAATAATAATAATAATAGTAATAATAATAATAGTAATAATAGTAATAATAATATTAATGATAATAATAATATAATAGTTTTAATTATAATCAAGTAAATAGTTTTAAAAAACAGTATAAAAAATTACTAAGAACAAATAATTAAAAACTAAATTTTTCTTAAAAATTTATTTTGAAAATAAAATTTAATAAATTTTGCATTAAATATCTCTATTAGTAAATATAATTTGATTTTATTAATTGGAAGAGATAAATATAAACAAACCCTTCTTACCTGCTCTGCCCTAAATTTTCCAAGCGAACAATTAATGTCAATAAGATTTCTATGATCAGTATTGTCTAAACCTCGTTGTACAACGTATCTATAATTTCTCAAAAAGAAAGTTAGTGACGAATTTTTCAATTTTTTTCTCAATTTATCAAATTGATTGAATTAAATTTTTCAATTTAATTTTATTCCTACCACAAAAGAATTATTTAAAAATATTTTTTTTTTTTGACAAATATTTTTTGTCGCCTCAAAACTTTTATTATTTGATTCGTTACTTATTTTCTCGTTGAGAGAGTATCTCGAGTCGTGAACGCGTAACAGTGTAAAAATCCAAAAGTTTTTCGCGTGTGTGCTTTTACTTTTCTTTTACAAAGCATTCCAGGCAAGTTTTCAAATACAAAAAACAGAAAAAAAACGACGAAAGTTGATGAAAAGGAATGTCTGGCATGATTGTAAAGAATTTTTTTTTTTCTGTTCGTTTTTTCAGACAATGGCCGAGATTCACCACCGGAACCAGCGCCACCAGAAGTACCACCTCGTGGTCCATCTTTGCACGCAACACATACTCTACGTTCTCAACAAAACCGCAATGGCTGCCCTCCAAATGCATCTGGAAATTTCAACCTATCGTCAGAGCAAGTTCCATCTGAAACCTTCTCCGGTGAGTGATTTATAATAAATTTGTTAATATCTATTAAATAAATGTAAAATAGTTGCAAAATAATTATAAGAGGCTTTTTGTTAACAAAGTGACCGAAATCGGTCAATTATTTTTTTGTAGTATTATACCTGACACGAAATTAGAACTCAGGATCATTTGGACCAAGTGTGTTAAAATTTGGTACATTTGTGTATTTTTCTTTGTAGGTTACATAAAATATGTTAATAGGTTTATTACAATTGGTTTTAAAGATATTTTTATCACTAAAAAGTTCTAATTTTTGTTTTGATTCGAAAGTATGGAATGTCTTTTGAGGTTTTCTAATAATACTTTTTTTGAAGGGAACACTGTATAACGAAAGGTATTATTTTAATACCAAATTGTCATTTGGTTTTATTTTAATAACCTAAAATCATTACTACTTTCGTACTTTCTTTTTACAGTAAAAGAAAAGAATGTCTTTTGAGATTTTCTAAAAATACCTTTTTTGCGGGGGAAAAATTTTGAATTTGACCAATTACTCAACAATGTGTTATTTTAAACAGAAATTTTTTTCTCCCCAAATTTTTTTTGCCCATGTTATTAGGAATTGACAAATGAAAATGAATATTTTTCTAAAAATGTAAAATTTTTAAAAATCCTCTAATTCAGAAAAGAATCAAAATCACTAGTAAGTTGACACACGCCATACATATACCCATCCCCAATGAAACAATGCAATTTCCAGGGGGGTTTGAAATTCAATAATGTAGAATTGCTTTTTGACTGGGAGTGTTTAATTTGGCGAACAGTTGCAACGTTATATTGCAACCGGGTATATAACGTACAGGGTGATGCGCAGATGTGCTCAACTTTCCGGGAATGGGAGAATTTCTGTTTTGAAACTAATGGGATCCGAGATCGGGATATTTCGGTTGTGTGTGTGTATGTGTATTTTTTTGCATTAACGCCTCCGTTAATTTATTGTATAAATATACGTCGAGTATATTAGTTTCTATATTTCTACAACCATTAGTATATATAACCATTTTATATATACCTATTATTTATATATATAGTCGAGAGTTTTTGGCAGAAATCATATATAGAAATTGGAAATTCACAGTGGTTGAATAAGGGGGTATGGGGGTAGGTTTAAAGTGGGGAAGGAGGAGGGAGGCATGAAACCGTGCGATGAACGACCTCTCGTTACTCGATTTGCATACTATTGCACATTCGATTTACGTTTTATACTCACCATAAATTCAACAATAACGCTAACCCTCCAATGAGGCGGTTAATTGTCGCTTTGTTAATTTCAATAAGAATTTCATTTACTATATTTTTCCTGCCTGTTAGAAAAAAGGGTACACATACATAATACTTGAAAAGAAAATTATTAATATTTAAATTTATATTTAGGTACTATACCTTATTCTTTATTATAGGATATATATATATATATACAAATGTATATAGACGAATAGGCAAACCTTAAAACTTTTACACATTTTTTTTTATAGTTAATAAAATTTTTTATGGATTTTCTTTGATGGATAGTTCCGAAATAAAATATTGAACTGAAGACCAAAGGTTTACTTGAAAAAAGGTTTTTTTCGAAATTCTATTTAAAAAAACCAATGGTAACTGTTTCTTTAACCAAAACAGAAATATTTCTTTTCTAAGAATTACTATAATTGTACACCAATTCTTTCTTTAATAACTTTAAATAATGATAAAAATTGTTTTTCTTTTTTGGAACAATGAAATTTTTTTCAAAATTATATTTCAATATGTCTTTTGAGGTTTTCGAACAATTTTTTAAATTCACTCTTCTTTATTTATCATAGAAGTTTATAAATTTTTGTCTTCAAATTGGTCTTTTTATAAAGTAACCGTTTTTTTTGGAGGCAAAAATTAGAAGTGAATTTTCTTCTGTTGGCAATGGAAGTAAATTTGTAAAAAAAAGTAGAATATAAGAAAAACAAATGATCCCCTTTTTATTCGAGCAATATTGTAAGCACAGAGGGTCGATTTGGAAGACGGTCCTCGTTATATTAGTGCCAGGGACAGTATACGCATATTTCTCAGCTTCTTCTTTGCCATGTGCGCGGGGAATCGTTCCTTGCAAATTACCTCATACTTTTACACATCCACACATATACTGACGGTCACAGAATTTTACAAAAAAAAAAAAATTCACGACACCCGCGAGAGATTGTCTTTCTGAAAGCGAGTATTATTATTACTATTATTATTATCTAGAGTACTTGAGCTTTTGGTATTTTTTCATATAACTGCAAATTAGAAATGATTACCGTTGTACCCATGGGAACGTATGAACGCGGAACTAGGCACAGTAGCGCACCTATGATTATTCACTCGAACTAAAAGTACCCTAATATTGAGTTTCCTCTTCTTCTTCTTTGGTCTATGGTTTTCGTGTGACAAGCAAAAGACTTGGAAAAAATAAATATATAAAAAAGTAGAACAATAAAAAAAGTGAAATTTTAATTAAATTTTTAGGATAAGGTATTCTTTATTTTTTTAAAATTCTACTTTCAAGTTCATATATATGACAAGCTTGGATTTCCTAACCTCCAAATGAACTAGCAACCAACAATTTGAAATGGCGTAAGAAAATGTTGATTGCCATTGTAAAAGTTACAATTGACTTTTTTTTTTCTTCTTCTTCTTCTTCTTCTTCGTCTTCGACTTATATTATTGTGCACATGGCACGTTCGAAAAGTGACATTCTCGTGTTTTACAGTTGACGTTATAGAGCCTCTCGTAAACGGAAATGATTGCCGGCGTTTTCAACGACGAAAGAAAAGAAAGTGGGAGGGAGAGTATAAGGGAGTATATAGTGAATCCATTAGGTAGACGAACGACGGAAAATAATAGCAAATGAAAAAGAGCTAGAGGCGATCAATTACATTACTGCGAAGCTTTTTCCAGAACCATTAAGGGATTAAGCTTCTCTGATACTGTAAGGCGCCTTACGATCGCGGCGGTTAATCCTGGTTTGGAAATTCGTCCCGTGTCTCTCTTTCTCTGTCTCAATTCACGATTCAGTTAATGATCTTCTATCCCCCTCCCCTTTTTGTTAAATACCCTCTCTTCATAGAGGAACAAGAAATTAGTAAAGAGAAAAAGTTTGTTTTTTTTCCTAAATTAAAACAAAATTTTTTTTTGACAACTGAATTTTACTCCTCGTTATTTCTTATATAATAGTTGTCAGATAAGAAATTACAGATAAAAATTGTGGATGAAAAAGCAATTTAATTAATAATAATAAAGTAAAAATAAATTTCCGTAAATTGAAATAAATGAAGATTTTTCGCAAGAAGAAATTTTATTGCCTGGATTGGTTGAACAGAGAAAGAGAGAGAGAGAGAGTGAATGTGGCGGAATTGGCACAAAGTGAAGTAAAATGCAAGGTGCCAAGGATTTTCATGAGGAAAATGTGCTACGTGGAAGGATAGAAGATCGTAAAATAGATTTGCTGTTTTACGACAATATAGAACGGGTCGGCGATATATATATATATATATATTGTATATATATATAGAGCTATCGCTTAATGACGCCTCGGAACCTTTGGCTTAAGTTTGCACAGTCCTTCTTACTTCCATGGAACTTTATTAAGAGCGCGAGCGCACACACGAGAGAGAAGCACTTTCTAACTGGCACTTGTGAAGATAATTATGAATATGTCTCTAAACCGAACTTACTCCACTATGTTGCTGCTACAACGTGCCTTGTTTAATGCAAGTACTTTGCACTGATTTCCTTCTACACTTTAACGTACAAACAACCGACTTTAATATATTACAACAGATAAATAAAACTAAAGGGAAAATAGAAATTTGTTGAGTATTATTAATATATATTAATGATAATACCAATATTTTTATTTATAAAACAAATATGTCTTTTAAGGTTTTCTATAATATTTTTAATATTTTTAACACTCTTCTTTATTATAAATTATTTTTTTAATTGTCTTTTTATCAAAACACAATTTTTTGAAAAAATTCTTTTTTTTTCGGAAATTGTTAAATGCCTAAAGGTAGGGTAGAATAAAAAAATTGAAAACTAACATATACATACAAGAGCAAGAGAGTGCTCTAATCGAAGATTGAGGGTCGCATGATGCATCCTCTTAAACATCAAGGACGTATCTCTAAAACCGACAAAGCAACAACAGGAACCATTTGGTGTATGTATATACATGGTACATGGAACGTCGAATATACTGTCTAGAAGGGAATATAGCTTGGCGTGCACGCCAGTCTAATAAATAGTAATTAGCGGCCTGGTAATTAATATAGAAGGGGCGACCCAAAGGGTGAGGGAGAAGGAATTGAGGTATGTACAGTGAGAGAGATGCAAATCAAGGAGAAGAAGAGAAGGGAAATACATTGTGGAGAATGAGACGAAAAGTGAACAGCAAGGAAAGAGAGACGGACGGACAGATCGATGGAAGAAGAAATAAGGAAGAAAGGGATAAAAAATGAGAGACAGAAGAAAAACAAAAAAAAAGAGGGGGTGTACAAAGCAACCCCTGTAGTCTTACGAGCAATGAATTCACTCGAATAGGTCGATTACGTTGAGAAAATTTCCATTTTCCGCTTTTGCACGCTTATTCAACGATGATCTACCTTTTACATTAGAAAGTTGCGCGCTGCAAGGGAAACTCTCGTAGAAAAGCATCGAGTAAATATTTACTCGAGCCCACTCTAACTCTTTCCCTCTCTCTCACTCTCTCTTTTACCCCCACAACCCTTATGCCCTAGCCGACTATCCCCCCGCACATGTAAACACAGACCTCGTCCAAGTTCACTCAAGGATGCGAGAGACTCACTTTCTGAAGCGTGTTTCTCTCCTGCTTTCAAATATAACGCGAAAAAACATTCCAAACACGCCCCACCCCACCCCCCTCTTCCCTTTGCCCTTCAAGCAAGTTGTTAGTGTTACAACGACTAAGTTATTCTTTTACAAAATTTTAAATTATTCTC